AGAATAACCTAATATTTCTTGCATTTTTTCTCCAATGTTGCCCTTGGATAACACAAACAAAGAAACCAAGTTTAGAAGTTAATTACACCCTTGAAACATTCAAACATATTACGCCAACATAGTCACACAAGACACTAACTAGACCACATGTTTCAGTCAAGCTCTTACAAAAGCAACAACCTATATGTTCACGCTTGAGGGGGGGGGAGGAGTCAAGGTCCAGAACTCTACAGCTGGAGCTTCTAAAAAAACCCACCAGCTCAAAAAATATACGATCCAATTCTCTAGATGGAAGGGACTCTAGTGTTCTGCAGGTGAGCAGTTGAAAGAGCTTTCAGTCAAAAAGGTCGGATATAAGCTGTACGTGTCAGTGTGTCCTAAGAAGCTCATGTCGTTGTAGGTAGGGTAATCCAACAGAAGCTGCAGAGCTGATTCAGATGAATCTTCCAGCTCGTTTGAACAAGACGCTTCAGATCCTAGTAGGAGATGATCTTCAGTGTTGTAATTAGATCTGCTGTTCTTCCACTCTGGCTCTTCCTCCTTCGGTTTGCACTCTGCAATTGGGGAAACACCTGCTGCAGTAAGATCCATCTCAGTGGTGGTACCTGAAGCTGACCCACATTTTGTCGACGAAGATGCCTGAGAAAATGGTGGGCTTTGACATTCAGCGTCCATGGATTTTGTGAGCTTACGGAATGCTTCTCCTGTTTCAGAGTTCCAGATGCGTAAGAAGAAGTCGGCTTCAGATCCTCCAGTAGTGGGAGGGACCAACAGTTTTGATTCTCTTGAAAGTCGCGCCTCAGCTTCAAGCCTAGCACTTTCCCATTGTGCCATGTGACGGGTGGAGGGGTTCGTAGGGAGTCTCCTCTGCAACCCAATACATTCAGATGAGGGTTCATGTGTTATGGGGTCAATGCCCATGGAAAGCAGCCGCTTCTTCAGATGAGTATTCCACAAGTTCTTGATCTCATTGTCTGTCCTTCCGGGTAACTGGGAAGCAATAGCAGCCCATCTGGGTAGAAGTAGTTACTATTGATTATTACGGAGTATCATTACTAATAGTGTTGTTTTTGTTGTTCCCCATTGACAAGTTCATGTTGAATATTTTCAGATGAATTAACTAAACCTGTTTCCGAGAATGGCGTGTAATTGAATGACAAGCTTCTCTTCCTCGGTGCTGAAGGGGCCTCTTTTGATATCAGGCCTTAGGTAGTTTGTCCACCTCAGACGGCAACTCTTCCCACAGCGTAGAAGACCTGCAAGATGGAAAGTGAGAACAGCAAATATAAAGAAATTCACAGAGCAAAATAAATGAAAAGAAAAGTGAAAGGAAAAGAAAATGAGAGGAGATAATAAAGGAAAACAACTTTTCTTCCATTTTGGTGAGGAAAGAAGAGAAACCTTTTTCTTTTTCTTTCCTTCCAAATTCCTCGAACCAAGCATAGTATTAGTGTCTGAGGTGTCTTTTTAAAAGAGACATCTCAGTAAACATGCCATAATATGTTCATTTAAGATGGCGGTGCTCTTTCCAATTATTAATTGAAAGAAGATTCCAGCTCCACAACTTTAGAATTTAGGGTTCATCATAAACGTTGAGATAAGAAAAAACAAGAAAAGCCAACCATTTTACAATGAAGATAGATCGGTATTACTGAAATAGTACCTCACCGGTGGCATAGACTCCATGATTTTGACAAAAATTACTTTCCTCAAAATCAACCCAAACACAAACTTTTATTTTGTTTCTTTGAAATGCATTGATCATATGCACATTCCAAAAATATTAGGATAAGTATTACATCTTCAATGATTCACAAATCACAACTTCTTTACACAAGCATCAATTTGCTGCAGTTTGAAAGGGTTGTGACTTGTAAGAGTTGTATAATTTAGGAACTCCTGATCTGCAGATCTGTTCTTGCTAAAACAAATATTGATGCTAAGCTACCCTATATTGACATTGGTCAATCTATTGACACTATTCATTATTAGGAAGCAGTACCGAGTAGGCAAGTACAAAGAGCAAATACTCCGTATTAAATACTAGCATTAGGCAGCAAACACTTCACGACATAGTACTCTCTATAATTAAAGATCAGCATTCACCATTGGTCATAAAATAATAGCATACTCTTTAAGATTTGGTGTAGGACAAACAAAAAATACCTAAAAACAACCACATACATAAGAAAGATAAATGCTATGATGGACCTAAGGTCCCCACAACTTTTTGTGGACTTGCATATTAGGATAGTTAACAAATGCTTACTACCCTGATGAACACTTTTTTGTTCGTAACAAATAAAAAATGTTTTTGATGTGAGAAGGTCCACAAAAAGTGATGTGGACCTTAGGTTTACTTGAGAAGCACTCACATAAAAAATAGAATAAGGGACGGTAACAAAATTGTGTTAACGGGTTTCCAGTTTGCAAAAGGTTACTAAGATGTACAATTCTAGATATTCACCAACAGTCCAACATTTATGAATCTTGATTTTTCAACTTAGTGCAATGAATAACAAGTTTAGCTCATAACACACTTAGTGCAATGAATAACAAGTTTAGATCATAACACAATAGCGTCTTCCTTGGGCAGTCTTGTGATACAAATCATACAAGTGTCACATATGTAAGTTACACACTCATACCTGTTATGAATTACTAGTTCCTAGCAAAGAAAACCTTCTGCTCTAGAGAATAATCCCTAATAGTTCATAAGTTTATCTTAAAAGATAGAGAGACAATCTGAACTCATTACTTGTTCCAAAAAAAATGTTTGCAGTGAAAGCTGGTTACTAGTTATATTCATATGCTGTAAAAAAAATACTTCATCCTTGGTTACAATTTTTAATTTTATCTTCAAATTACTTTACTTCCTCATAGAGTGATGCAATATCAGTTTCAGATCTAGTAAATAAGAACTAGGACTGCAGACAAACTGGGAGAACAGAGACTTACCATTTCTGTTCAGGTGGTATAATCTATATCATATGCCTAGTATGTTCATAGAGTTACCTTTAAGGCCATGGCCAAACAGGGCAATCAGTCCAACAATAGAGTTGGTACTAGCTATACTCCAAATGTTTCTCTTCAATCATAAATCACTTTCAAAATACTTTAAAAAGAAGAGCAGAAAAACAAAGAACCAGGGTTTAAGGAAAGGAGTGAGGGTTTCACCTGCAAGCTTGGGAAGAGAACGCCAGCTGCCTTGCCCATTCTTCTTGATGAAATCAACGAGCTTTTCATCTTCTTCAGGCGTCCAAGGCCCTTTCTTCAGCCCTTTCTTGTCACAACAAGGTGTTCTACCCATTCCCCTTCTCTCCCCCCCTCTCAAGTTCTCTGGATTTAATTTTTCTGCAGTGATGAACAAAAGACCAGGAATTTTTTCGCATTAAAACATCAACCTTTGAAGGGACCAGAGAGAAATAGAGAGAGAAAGTGTGTGTGTGTGTGTGAATTGACAGGTCCTATTAGAAAAGTACAACTTACTCTGTAGTAGTCCACATAGCAGCAGAAATGTGACTGGCCAGTCTGATGCCGGCTACACATTTATTGCCAAGATATGATGTCTATTTACGTGTCTGTGTGTTGAATGAATGATATAAATACTATGTAAAAAAAATCAGTAACTCAATATATGTGGAGAATGACATTTAAAACATCATATAGTATTACTACCTCCACATGCTAGGGTGCCACCACATGGGTGCTACCATGGGTGCACCCATGCTTCGCACAGACACAAACGCTACCGTGTGGTGTATGTGCGAAGCATGTGTGCACCAATGGCATCACCCATGTGGTAGCACCCTAGCATTATTCATCCCAATTTGTATGGGACAAAATGTTGGCTAGTTAAGTTTTTCATCTTCAAAAGATGAAGGCGACAGATCTGAAAATGCTCAAATGGATGTGTGAACAAACGAAGAAAGATATAATTACAAACCGAGCTATACGAGACAAGGTCGGAGAGGCCTCTATGACGGACAAGATAACAAAAGCGAGGCTACGATGGTTTGGGCATGTAAAGAGGAAGTAAAATGTGCTCGTTGAAGTGAGAGTTTGGAAATCGTGGGAGTTATTAGAGACAGAGTTATGCCGAAGAAGTGCTGATGGAGGTAATTAGAGACAAAGTTAAACTCAAGTATTCCAAGGACATGACCTAAGACACTGAAATTTGCCGGTCCGAGGACATGTCCTTGGATGAAGTTTTGGCAGTTGTAGTCTTTGTCGCTTTTGTTTGAGAGGCGGGGGTTAGTCGTTCCATCTAATTTTCTACTTCCTCTGTTCAAAAAAGAGGTGCATGTTTTTTTGTTCATCTTGATTAAATGTATGTATTTCCATACGTGAAAAACAATGCGGGGTTTATATTGTTTATCTTTCTTATGCATAGATCTCAGGCACATAATTTAACTTTATTAAAAATTGTGGTCGCTCAAATTGAGCACATCTTTTTGGGACAAAGGGAGTACTATTTAATACTCTATCTGTCTCACTGTTTTTGTCTTCTTTTTACCTCTCATGTATATCCCACTATTTTGTCTCATACCATATTAGTAAATAGTAATGGTTGTACGACTCACATTGATTCTTACTTTTCTTACTTTTTAACATCATTTTCAACCACACAGTATCATTTAGTATGGTCGTACGAACTAACATACGTACACGTATATGAGTGCGTGTGCACATACAATATAATTAGAAGTATATGGAGAAAGAGGGCAATCCCCTCTCTAGTACGCCCTCCGTTTTACAAAACACTTCCGCCCTAATTTTTTGTGCATCCCTCAAAACACTTTTACCACACTTAAAGTATCTAAAATAAACTTCTATTTCATAGTTTATGAGTATTTTAGACATCTTATGTAGACTAGAAGTGTTTTATGGGGTGTGCGGATAATTAGGCCGGAAGTGCTTTGTATAACGGAGGGAGTACAAGTGTACAACCCTCAAGATAAGCAATTGAACTAAATTGATTTGGTGAAACAAATATACTCCTATTCTGCCAATAAAAATGTTTTGTTTTTCTATATACACACAGAATCAAACATGATGTTTGCCTCTATACTACGGAGTATATGAGAGAAAATACTATGTGTATTCTTTAGCTTAATTATTCAAAAAAATAAACAGTACATGTAGTTCTCCCAAATTGAACACATTTAGTCACTTGATATTGTCTAACTTCAAGCTTTTATTTTCTGTTTTATTTTGCTTCAAAATTTTCAAACGTTAACCTTCTCCCAAAATTTTCTAAAGATTTCAAACTCCAACCCTGGATTTTCTCCTGCATTTCTTATTTGACGCAAGGAATTGAATTCAAATAAAGAGTGGCATGGCAGCACAAATAGATAGCATTTGCAGGGCAATCTTTCTAGGTTAAATTGCAAAGTTCAAAGAAAAAGGGAAAGGGCAATCAATTCCCCCTCTCCCCAAAGCCAATTGACATCATCTGAGCACCGCATTGAATTCTTGTGTTTATTGTGAGAAAATGACCAAACCATTTCGGCCAAGTTGTAGTACATACCACCAGTCTGAGCTGGTGTGTGTGTGTGTGTGACACTGTGTGTGAAAAGGGGATTTCAAATCAATGCCCTAGACCACATCAATTGCGCGCATTGAATGAATACATAATTATGAATATATGCAATAATGTGAATCTAAAGGAGAAGAGATAGAGAGAGATACAGTAAATGCGGCAGCGAAGATGGAAGTCAATAGCAAGGCAGTTAAATTGGAATCCATGGAAAAGCTCTCACTCTCAGCATCCATAAATGCGTACAGAGTATGCGTATGATGGCATTGAAGGAGGGGAGAGAGGGGAGAGGGCATTGATGATGGGGGGGCGGGGCGGGGCATTCACGGGACACGCTAATGGTGAGGGAGAAAGACACGATTCCTCCTCCCATCTCATCCTCCACCCACCCACCCTCTACCCTTGCTTCTTATGATATTTGTGATTTTTTTAATATATACCGTACAACCAGGTTGTACGGTGTTTCTCGTACATCCATAGATAATGTTTATTTATAAGTAATTGAATGCTCGTTTTTTAATAAATGAATGCTCATTCTCGAATAACTGAATACTCATTTTTGTAAAATCTAGTTATGCTCGAAGATGAATATTCATTACTCGAAAATGTGTATTCAGTTACTCAAAATGAACATTTAGTTACTCGACAATGAGTATTAATGAGATGGATGTATAGGAAATACCGTACAACCAGATGTATGGTATAGGTACTCACGATTTTCACACCATTTATTTTAAGAAATTTTGAGTCATTTTACATAATTAATCCGAGAATTAGATCTTGTTTGGTTAGGGAAATGAGGAAATCATTATGTTTAAAAAAATAATTTTATTTTCTTACATATGAATATATGATAATATAAGTAATACTAACTTCGTCCCGTAAAACTTTTTCTGTTTTAACTTTTGGAATACGAAATCGTAGAAGTTTGGCTTAGCTAAAACGATAACAATTGAAAAGAGTGGGACTCGAAATCAAAATAAATAGAACGTAGAAGGTAGTTGAGATATATGTTCAGTTAGATCATTTAGGGCTTAAGCTAAGGGCACTTGAAAAAGAATTGATTTTCGATAATTCATTCAAAAAAAATTATTAAAACAACATTTAAAAAAATGTGACATTGGCGCTACACTTTTTGTACGTTATGAAAATAATTCGAATGAATTATCAATAAAATTGCTTCACAATTTTTCTTGTACTCCAATCTTTTCTCCACAACGGTACACTATATATTTTTCACAACTCACTGCAATGTTATTTTTCTTATGATCCATTATTATATATTTTGATTCTTTCTCTCTCTTTTTTTTTCTTCGAGCATGGGAGATAGTTTGCTACCCAACATGGCACCTACCTCTAGTTTCATACAATTTTTAATGTGGTTTTTAAATATGAATATTTTATTTTTTAAATTTCATCTCAATTTTTAAATAAATTGTATTGTAATAATTTATGTCAAATATAATAAAACCACACAATTTCAATTGGAACAATGATACTACATTTGTCCGTTATAGATCTTCTCAAACGATATTCACTAATTCAAATTTAACTCACTTTTTTTGCTTATTTTTACTACTCATTTCATAAAATAATACAGTTTTGTCGCCTCGAGAAATATATACTTTTTTACTATATAAAATATATTTTTTAAATTTTAATTTTACAATCAACTAAATTAAATTAAAAATAAAGTCGGTCAAATCTCGTAAGGAATAGGAGGATGATCTTTGGTAGACGGAGGGAGTAATATTTTGTAGTCCCCGTGTCCAAACCTACGCTTCGAGAAATGGATATTGGAAAATACGATTCAACCATGTGAGCTTGCTTCATAAATTTTTTGTTATGACAAGTGAGTTTTAACCCCTCTTTAAGTTATCTTATAATTATAATTTTATTAGAAATAGATTTGAAGTCCGGGACCTCAGATCAAGGATTTAAACCTATATTTTTTAAATTTTTAATACATATTTTGTGAAAATGAAATAATAAGATTTCATTAATTAATTAAATTTACACCGCAATTATTCATTAAATAAAAAATTACATTCAATAAAAAAAGAACATTAAATTTTAAGAAATTACAATAATTTAAAAAACTAAATCTCCTTTTTCAGTGCACTTGATTCTAGTTGAGTTTCTGGAATTGACCATGGTCCTCCAGATTCACCGAGGTTTGAGTTTGAAAAACATCGGATCATTCCTGTATGTATGTTTGGTAAAGCCACATCACGTACTCATTTAAATCAAGACCGGATGCAGAATCAAAGGGATTCATGATAAAAATTTTAATGTAAGAGAGAAAGATATGGAATATGAAAGAGAATAGAGAATTATATGAGAGAATGAAAATATCCGATCTTGGCCTTAATTTCATTTTTCAACTCAATAAAATTCAACACATCTTCAACTTCAATTCATAAATCTCATCCCTCATCTTTCTCAATTCACTCTCATCTCACTCAATTCATTTTCTCTCCAATTTTCATTATTCAAAGTGAATTTCACGGGAAATATCTTTAGCTTTGATAATTCCGAACTCGATGCCGTCATTCGATTTGTAAACTCCGGTTCTTTACTTGGCGACAATTTTCCTCTGTTCTCGGGTTCCAACGATAGTCCCTACCAATTACCGGCCGTTAGTACGACTGACTATGACAATTTTAAGTTGGAGCCCATGATCGAGGGCATTAGCAAAGGAAAGGCCAAAAAGACCGGCGGGCCGAAGAAGTATACTCCGGTGGAAAGGATGACATTGGTGAAATACTACATTGACGTGTTGGATGAGGCCATCGTCGGCAACTACAAAAAATTTAAAATGTTCTTGGAGTGTGTTGTGGCGAAGTTTAACGCCGGAAGGCCAGATGGTACGCCCGTACGTGACGGGAGATGCTTCGAAAACACAGGAGCCGTGTGCAATCGAAAGTCCAGAACTTTGGTGGCTAATATGCCAACGTCCTCAAGGCGTGGCCCATTGGGTCATCCGTTGAAGACATTATGTGAAAGGCGTTAGACCCTTATTATGAAGCAGAGAAGAGGATTTTCAAGTTCTAGGAAATCCAAAAAATCCTGCAAATGAGCCTTAGATTCAGCATCGATGCCGAGGCGGGAGGATCGGGACCGATCTAATCCAAACTCCCTGAGATTGGTTCGTACTCGACGAGCAGGAGCAGATATTCCATCGACCTCAACGCCACAAGAGACGACTTCCCTCATGGATTGGGCAATGAATCCACTGGTTAAATCCACCCAATCAGGTCGAAGGCGGCAAAGAAGGGGAAGGTGAAGGCCAAGACAACTACTCCTAGTATGACACTGATAAGGAACACTTTTGTGTTTCCTGCATTGATAGGGAATTAATTCTCTTAGCGGTAGTTCTAGTGCCCTTAGCATAAGCCCTAAGAGATCCAAGAGACCATGACTCCATGAGTCAACCAATGATTTTAAACTCGGATCGAAGGTCGGCCCGGTGGGGAGGACAGGTCCCGGGTCAATTTGGATTTTTTCGAGTCGGCCTGGTTTTTTGCGAGTTTTTCCGGATTTGGGGTGCGGGGATTGGACTGGACCGGTTGTATGTCTAGGTCGCGGTTCCACCGTTCGATAGATCGATCCGCCCGGTCCGGTCCGGGTTTAATATCACTAAAGTGAAACGGTTGAACGACTCGGTCCGGTCCGAGTTTAATAACACTGAATTGAACACCGCCTGCCTCTGTCAAGACCAGAACTTCCTCTACAAAGGATTTTTTTTTTTTGTTTTTTTCTTTTTTTGCAAATGAACCAGTCTCCCTAATCACCAGCAAGAAGTCTCAATAATATCTCGCCTGAATCAATTCTGCAGACATGGAAGCCGATAGCTCAACCGTAACTTCAAGAAAATCCCCTCTATATGTTATTCTTCATTTCTATCGTATTTTATCAATTTATTTGCATTTTTTAATCATTTACGCCTCGATTATGGAAATCTGTAGCCCTGAAGGAATTTGGATCATCCAACTGTAATCTATATGTTTTCCTGTTCATTGATCGGTTAAGAGTGTAAATTAGTATGAATTATTTGAAATGATAGCTCCAATATTCAAAGATTGTGCGCAATTCACATGCGTTTCCATTGAACTGTTGGATTTATCAGGGTACCACGGAGTGGCGAGATTACGGAAGGGAAGAGATTCATGACTGTGTCATCAAGCTGGTTAGTCTGTTTTCTGGTTATAGATACATGAGTTTATGTTCAATTTTGGGAGTAGTTCTATGATGTGAATGCCAATTACAGAGGCCGAATCCTCAGAGACGGAAAAATGAAGTTTTTATTGGCTGTGGTGCTGGTTTTGGGGGCGATCGACCTATGGCAGCCCTAAAATTGCTTCAGAGGGTAAAGGAATTAGACTATCTTGTATTGGAGTGTTTGGCAGAACGTACCCTTGCCGAGCACTATCGGTCAATGAAGTCTGGTGGCAAGGGTTATGATCCCCGTAGTACGTTTGTAATATTTATGGTTATTCACTTGAGAGTTCTAGTATATTTGCAGAGTAGGATGTGCATACATTTCAAATTCTTCTTGCATCATTTATGTAGTAGTGTATCATAGTTGCAAAGTTGTTGGTAACTTTGAGTAACTTACACAGTATCTGAGTGGATGCAATTGCTCTTACCCTTGGCTGTGGAGAGAGGAGTTTGCATTATTACCAACATGGGTGCAAGTAAAGCTCTCGTTATCACTCGCGCGCTCTTGTGTGTGTTTGTGTGTATTTGTTTTAAAAAAAAAATTAATTTCAAAATATTTCTCTTTGTGATCTGGCTGAAGAGAACCCGTGTGGTGCTCGCGATGAGGTTTTAAGAATTGCAAGCAGACTGGGCATCGGTATTACAGTCGGTTTGGCCTATCAGCACAAAGTCTTGAAATCTGGTAATTTCACACATATAGATGATAAGAAGAGTAATAATGAGAGGATTAAGAATCTAGTATCCATTCGTGACTTCATTTTTTTCCTTCTTTTACTTGCAGATTTGAAGGATGTTCTGAGAGATGATGATGCTGTAAGGTTTGCTTATCCTTAGAATACATTTCATTAATTTACATGAACTAGTGTTGTCGTTAGTTTTCTTCAAGTATATTGCATAGCTATTCTGAATCGTTGGTTCAAGCATACAACAACAACAAACCCATTAGAAATCCGACAAAGTGAGATTTCGGGAGTGTGTACGCAGCCTTTAGAGACTAGAGTCTAGAGAGACTGTTTCCAACAGACACTCGAGCCTTCCAAGTCTTCTTAAGTCTACCACTACCCCTCCTTACGCTTACCTCAAGCTTCTCACACCTCCTCACAAGGGCATCTGTACTTCTCAGTATGTGCCCAAACCATCTAAGTATAACTTCTTGCAACATATACTCCACAGAGACCACTCCCATCCTCCCCTGGTGTATCCTCATTTTGGATCCTCTCCATCCTCATATGACCACTCTTCCACTTCATCCTCAATATCCTCATCTTTGGTTCAAGCATATTGATCATAATATATCTTTGCTGTTCTTCTTTCCATTATGGTTCTTGATCACGCTCTTTTTGTTTCTATTTTTTAAGCAAGGACAATGCTCTTATGGACTATGGAGTATATTTCTCTTAGAAAGGAAATGTTGACCCTTTTTGTGTCCCTGATTTTATGCAGGATGTTAGCGTGTATCTGGGAGCAGCTCCAATTGTGGAGTGTCTTGAGAGATATAGACCAAATATTGTTATCACTTCTCGAGTTGCAGATGCTTCCTTGTTCTTGGGTCCGATGGTATGGAGTTGGTTGATATTTTTCTTGCCTATTTGTCCTGAGTTCAGAACTGAAAATATAATTAGGTGTATGAGTTGGGCTGGAACTGGGATGAAACAAAGCTGTTAGCCCAAGGTTCACTAGCTGGGCACCTGCTAGAGTGTGGTTGTCAGCTCACAGGAGGATACTATATGCACCCAGGTGATTTCTTCATTAAACACTGCGTATAAAATAACATTTAAGGTCCATTTGGAACTTGTAAATTGCCAAGAAAAGAAAACATAGCAGAAGTGTGGATGGAGAAAATGTTTCGAATTCAATCTATCAATTTTAGATATTTATTCAAACTCATGTTATTTAAATATTTCTATTATATGAAGACTGTGAGCCCTGGGTCTTTTAGAAACATCATTTTTCAAGGGGTAAGGTCTGCCGTCTGCGTACGCGTAACCCTTAGATCCCATTATTGGTAATGGGACTTCACTGGGTAGGTGATTTCACGGGGTATTAGGTAAATAGAAGAATATTAGTTACTTTCCATATTTGCCCCCAACTTTATAATTATTAAAGTAATGTATGTGAGATAGTAGAGATGATGTGATAGGTGTGCAGAAGGGTAAGAAAGACTTCTTACAACTTAATAACTATAAATTTGGAAGTGTAAAGAATTCAATGGGACAACAAAAAATTGCAAGTGGAAAGAATCCAAGGGAACAGAGGGAGTATATGCTAAGAATTCTAGATATATGTAAACTTAAAAAATGATCAAATATTATTTTACTTCATATTAAGATAAAACCAAACTTCGAATACAATTTTCTTTAGTAATAATTCCCCCCTACCATTTTGGAATTCCAAACGTAGCCATGGTATTTCAGGAAGCCTTTAAAGGGGGAGGTGCAAGTTTTCAACCTTGCTTTGATTTTGTCATTCTTGTTTTTATATTTTGGGACTGACTTATGCGACATTTCTGTAGGAGACAAATACCGAGACATGTCTTTCCAAGATCTCTTAGATTTATCACTCCCCTTTGTGGAAGTCAAATATGATGGTTCAGTATGTGTGGCGAAGGACGAAAGTCGTGGTGGGTTACTGAACTCCAGCACTTGTGCTGAGCAGCTTTTGTATGAGGTTGGGGATCCCGGAAAATACATTACCCCTGATGTTGTAAGTATTGTCTTCGGGTTCTTCTTTGTGCCATCTGGTTTACAACAACAACAACCCAATAAGGCCCCACCAATGGGGTCCGAGGAGCGTGTGTGTACACAAAATTTACCCCTACCGATGGAGGTGGAAAGGCTATTTCTGAAAGACCCTTAGATAAAACAAAAGGAGACACAAATCCTTCATCTGATTTGATAGGGTATATAACACGCCTGAATAAAGTGTAGTTGTAGATTTGGAGGTTTGAATCCTTCATCTTTCCTTTGATACAGATTCTAGATTTCCAAGAAGTTGTGTTTCAACCAATGTCGAAGAATAAGGTCCTCTGCACTGGAGCAAAACCACATGTAGAAGCGGTACCTGATATGCTGTTACTGCTAGCGTCAAAGGTACTTCATTTTCTTTTGACCTCAGCAAAGAAGAGTTATACAACTATAGTTTATTACTCCGGACTTCTGTACGTCTTTGTACTTAATATTCATCTGGCTTTTGCCTTGTTCAACAGGATCATGGTTGGAAAGGGTGGGGAGAAATATCCTATGGGGGTTATGAATGTGTAAAACGTGCTGAAGCTGCTGAATTCTTGGTTAGTATAGTCTGTGTTCTTTACACTGTTCTTTGGGGGGGGGGGGGGGG